TTCTCATGGGCGCTCTGGGCAGCATTTGAGCGCGGGGAGAAGTCGCGCGAGCGTCGTGGCCCCTATTGGCTATCTTCTTGCTTGTCTCTAATGCTGCGGGACGGCTATTCACGGCTGAGGCGGATCCCCACCCTGCGCGCCCGCGAGCGCGTTCTCGTCGCAGGTGAATGGGATTTGTCTCACGCGTGGCCGTCCCGCTGGCGGGATGCGTTTTTTCCCCGCCCGCCCGACCCTGCTGCGCGAGCGCACTGGCGTCGCAGTGGCTGCTAATTGTGTAGAGGCTGGGCTGACCCAGCGCCAGGCTTGGGGGAGGCGTCGGCGAGGTTGCTCGGCTCCGCGACGCCGACTCGCGCTCACCCCACCGCCTGCCCTGGGCCTGCGCCAGTCGACGGTTGTGCCCTGCGTTAGCGCGGGCCCAGCCTCGACGCGACTTCTCGGGGGGGGATGTGGAAACTTACATTTTGAGTATTTCCGCTTCTGGGGTGTCACAGCGACCACGACGGCCCCAGAGGCCCCCTGCGCCGCCCCGAGACGGCTCACGAGACCCTTATGAGGGCCCTCAGACAGCCCAAAAGGACCACGAGATATCCCAAGAGACGCTCAAGACGGCCCAAACGGGCCCCCTGAGCCCGAGAGCCCCAAGAGCGGCCCAAGATCGAGGATTCCAACTGACATCTCCCGCTCTCCGCTTCCAGAGGGCCCCCGAGCCCGCCATCACTTCCCCCCAAGATGCCCCAAGAGGTCCCCAAGAGGCGCCAAGAGGTCCCCAAGAGGCGCCAAGAGGCCCCCACGAGGCCCACGAGAGGCCCCCAAGAGGCTCCCGAGAAGCCCCCAGGAGGCCCTATGAGGCCCCCGGGAAGCCCCCGGAAGGCGTTGAAGAGGCCCCAGGATGCCCAGGGTGGCTCCTGAAGGGTTTGAGTTTGAACGGTTCTCGCATTCTCGTTTTCCCGGGCTTCTCCGGGCCCAACGCATCCGCATGAGTTTCCCAGATAGCCTCAAGCCGGCTCAAAAAGGTTTGTAGAGCGCCCGAAGACGTCACAAGAGGGACCCAAGACGGCCCCAAAGTGTGCAGGACGGCTAAAGAGCCCCAAGAGGGCCCCAAGAGGGCCACAAGCCCCCGGAGTCCGCCAGGACGATCCCAGGAGGCCCCCGAAGAGGCATCCAGGAGGCCCCTGATATTTATTCCGTGGCACTCCGACCCGAGGCAGAGGCCCCCCAAGGCCCCCTCCCCCAAACATATATTCTATACAAGAGGCGTCCAAGAGGCCTTTTTACAAAAAGCCAAGAGCCCCCAAGAGGCTCCACAAGACACCGAGAGAACGCTTTAATATTTCCCCTCTGAGCTTCCCATGGGCCAGGACTCGTCGAGGGCGCTCTGGGCGACGAGGCGGAGGCGGCGGAGGGAGAGGACGACGAAAAGGCGGATGCGGAGGAGGGACAGTGGAGGGGCAGTGGAGGAGGAGGAGGAAGGAGGAGGAGGAGGAGGAGGAGGAGGAGGAGGAGGAAAAGGAGGAGGAGGAGGAGGAGGAAGAGGAGGAAGAGGAGAAAGAGGAGGAGGAGGAGGAGGAGGGGGAGGAAAAGAGGGAGGAGGAGGAGGAGGAAGATGGAGAAGAGTAGAAAGAGGATGAGGAGGAAGGAGGAGGAAGAGGAGGAGGAGGCGGAGGAGGAGGAGGAGGAGGAGGAGGCGGAGCAGCAAGACGACGACGGCCGCGGAACCGGAATAGAAGGCCCGAATGAGGACCGGGCACTGGCTTCGCTGGGGGATTTGCCACCTGTTTTGTGCTTTTTGGTTTGTTTTTACTGTGGCTTTTTTTTTGTCAAAGGTTGTTTTTATTTGGTTTGGAGAAGCACGATGTCCAACATGCCCCCAGCACCGCCCTGGAGGCGCCCTAGACGCTCACAGCAGACCCCCGAGACGGCCCCAAGACGGTGCACTGGCAGTGCCGAGACCCCCGGCTGGGCAAGGGGCCCGCCCGCCCGCCGAGGGGGGGTTGGGTTTTGTGGGGTTATTTTGGGGGGGGGTGGTGGTGGTTGCGTTTGGTGGGGAGTGGTTGCGGGGGTTGGGATTGGAAGCTGCGGGTTGGGGTGTTTTGGTTGGTGGTTTTGTGTGCTGTGTGTCTGTTGATTGTCTGTTGTGTGTGTTTGGTGTTGTGGGTTGCTTTGTTGTGTGTGTTTGGTTGGTTTGTGTTATTGTGGTGTGTTTTTTTGTTGGTTGGCTGTGTGTTGTTTTTGTTGTCGTTTGTGGTGGGGTTGGGAGGGTTGGGGTTTTGGGAAGCTGCTTCAGCCCGAGCGACGGAGCCCGACCTCTTTCAGGGGCCTCTGGCGGTTTTTGTGGAGGGCCGCGCTTGGGCTTCCCCCCTGCTGCCTCTTTTCCTCCTCCTTCCTCATCATCCTCCTCCTCCTCCTCTTTTCTTCCTCCTCCCTCCTCATCCTTTTCCTCCCTCCTCCCTCATCCTCCGCCTCCTCCTTCTCCTCCTCCTCCTCCTCCTTCTCTCCTCCTCCTCTCCTATCCTGTCCTCCTCCGTCCTCTCCTCCTCCTCTCCTCCTCCTCCTCCTCCTCCTCCTCCTCCTCCTCCTCCTCCTCCTCCTCCCCCTCCCCCTCCCCCTCCCCCTCCCCTCCTCGCACCGCCCCTTGCGGCCTTCCCCGAGCACCTCCAGGACTTGGGACACCAGCTGCAGCCCCATTCTGGGTCTCCGTGGTGCGCCCTCGGGCCTTCGCCTGGACCTCCTGGGAGCCTTCCAGCCCCCCCTCTTGGAGCATCCTTGGCCATCTTTGGGCTTCTCTTCGGCCCCAGTCTGCGTTCTGTGCGTGGCCCTCTTGGAAGTCCAGTGGGGCCGCCCTTTGGGATCCCCTTGGCCCTCCCTTCGAGCTGACTTTGGCGCGATACTGCGGCCATGTTGGAGCGCTCTAGCGCCCCCCTTGAAGCAATGTTGCGCCGCCAAATGGTGCTACGTTCGAGCCCTCTTGGGGCCTCCGCGGAGGTTCTCCCGGGCTGTTTTGACGCTCTTCCGTGGTACTTCTTCAAGCCTTCTTCTTGGAGTACATCTCGGCGCCATATTGACGCCACTTTTGAGCCTCTTCCTGGGACCTCTTCGGCCTTCGTCAGACGCCTTCTCAGGTCGCTTCTTCGGGACCCCTAGGGCCTTCATATGGGGCCTGTTCGGGAGCTTTGCGGCACTGGCGGGGCACTTCGGATGCTTTCTTGAGGCGCGGTTGGGCCATATTCAGAAGCTTGCGACGACTCTCAGGGCACTCTCATTCTTCCTTTCCCGGCCTCTTTGAGCTGTCTTGGGCCCTCTCTTGAGCCCCCCCTGGAGCCTCTATCACGGCGCTCTCGAGGTTTCCTTCTGGTGTTCTCCTAGGACCCTCCTTGAGTTGTCTTGAACCGAATGGCACTATCTTCGTGTACTCCTTTGTTTGCGTCGCATGCGCATTTCTATTACTTCGTGCTTCAGGATTCGGAGAGGAGGAGAAAGACGAGAACGAGAAGGACGAGGACTGGACTGAACACATGGATAAAGAGCAGGAAGACGAGGAGGAGGAGGAACACTTATGTAGACAGGAGGTAAGAGGGACGTGTATGAGGGGAGAGGCGCAGGAGAAGGAGCAGGAGCAGGAGGACAATCAGAGAAGCTGGGGGAGGAAGCAACAAGAGGAATATAACACGAGGAGACAATCATGAGACGAGGAGATGGGAGGAGGTGCAACAGAGTAGGCTGGTCATCATGATGGTGGTGGTGGTGCTACTGATGATGACGGGTACGACGATGATGGTGATGATGATTGTGATGGCGATGGCGATGGCGATTGTGATGTTGATGGTGATGGTGATGGTGGCGTTGATGATATTGAATGCTGGTGTTGATGTTGATGCTGATGTTGATGTCGGTAAATATGATGTTGATGACGATGATGTTGATGATGATACTGCGGCTGCCGCTGATGATAATGATGATTAGGGTGATGATGGCGATGATGACGGTGGTGATGATGATTCTTGTGGTGGTAGTGCAATGTTCGTGTCGGGGTTGATGTTGATGCTGATAGTGATGCAATTGACGACGATTATGATGTTGCTGCTGATGATGCTGCTGATGATGATGGTGGTGATGATGATAATGCTGGTGATGACGATGATGATACTGCTGATGATGATGAGGATGACGATGACGATGCCGATGATGCTGATTGTAATGACGACGATGACGCACATGATGATGACGATGATGGTGATGTTGCTGATGATGATGAAGATGAAGCTGAAATTGAATATGTTGTTGTTGATGACGATGATGATAAAGCAGAGTAATGCTGATGATGATGCTGACAATGCTGCAGCTGATGACGGTAATCAAGAATATGATGAGGATGAGGATTAGGATGAGGATGAGGACGGTGATGAAGCAGGTGATAATGATGACGAAAGTCGTGATGATGAAGGTGATGATGTTGTTGGTGATGATGATGATGATGGTGATGATGCTGGTGATAGTGATGGTGATGATGATGATGATGGTCATGATGATGATGATGATGATGATGATGATGATGATGATGATGATGATGGTCATGATGATGATGATGATGATGATGATGATGATGATGATGATGATGATGATGGTGGTGACGGCGATGGCGATGGCGATGGCGATGACGATGGCGATGGCGATGGTGATGGTGATGGTGATGGTGATGGTGATGGTGATGGTGATGGTGATGGTGATGGTGATGATGATGGTGATGGTAATGATGATGATGACGACGATGACGATGACGATGATGACGATGACGATGACGATGACGATGACGATGATGATGATGATGATGATGATGATGATGATGATGATGATGATGAGGAGGAGGAGGAGGAGGAGGAGGAGGAGGAGGAGGAGGAGGAGGAGGAGGAGGAGGAGGGAGGAGGAGGGGGAGGGAGAAGAAGCGGAGGAGGAGGAGGAGGAGGATTAGGAGATGGAGGAGGAGGATTGCGCTCCGTGCCCAGGCATCCGCGTGCTGGCAGGACATCCACGGCGCCCGCGAGAGCGGGAAGCCCGAGGCCACAGGCGCGCGCCGCGCGATCGGGGCAGAGGGGGGATGGCGTCTGCCCAGCTCTCCTCGTCCTCCCTTGGAGCCTGGCATCGCTCGGACGTGTGCATTTTTCCTTCGGCGAGGACCATCGAGGAGCATCCTTGATCTTTTCACGAGAAAATCCACGCACGAAGCCGAAAGAAACACAGGAAATGCACGTCCGAGCGATGGCCAGTGGAGCCGGCGTGGGGGTCTGAGGCGGCCCAGCACGTGGCCCAGCTTTGGCTCCGACCAGCAGGCAGGGGGGCGAGGTTCGAGGAGGTCCTTTTGCTTCTTCCTGTCTCCGAGGGCCTCCTCTGTAAGCGTGAGGCCCGGCGCCCTCTGAGAAGCAGCATCTTTCTAAGAAGCCCTCCCCCCTCCCCCTGCCCCCGTTTGCGCGCCGCCAGGCCTCCGTGCGCGGGGCCGGTGGACCCGGCGCGCGAGTCGTTCAGCCCCGCGGTGCGCGCCCAGACCTGCACGCGGGCCATCGCGCGGGGAGGTCCGCGCCCGCCTCCGCTGCCGCTCGCCCTCTGGGCCGCCTCGGCGTGCCCTGCGCCGAGGTTGGCAGCTGGCGGCCCCGCCTCGGCAGCCGTTCGGGCGCCTCCGCTCCGCTCGATTCCAAGCTGTCCCCGTTCTTCCGCTGTGTTCTTGGGTGGCGCTGGCGCTGGGGTCTGCCCGCGCGTTGGAGGCGATTGCGGCTGCAACCTTGGATGCGATCAAGTGTCTGCGCCGCGCCGGCCCTTGCCCTCGCGCCCTGTGGCGCCGCAGCTTCCTGGACGAGGCGCTCTCTGCTGGTTTCAGACGTAGGCGCTCCGCGGCATAGCGATCTTGGGTTATGCCGGGTGTTTCGCTCCAGCTTGTCCAGTGCCCACAACGTGGCGCAGCATTGTTTTGCCAGCTTGCGTCGTCGCCTGCTTCGGCCCGCGGCTTCGGCGCCCGCAATAGCGCGGGGCCGCCGCGCGCAGCCCGAAATTCAGATAACTCTTAGTGGCGCCCTGTGCGCCCCCTGAGCTTGGCACCATAGCCAGTAATTCCACAGCGTCGGTACCGGTACGGTGCGGGGTAGAAGGAGGGGAGGAGGGAAAGGAGGAGGAGGAACAGGGAGGAGGAGGAGGAGGAGAAGGAGGAAGAGGAAGAGGAGGAGGGGGAGGAGCAGGAGGAGGAGGAGGAGGAGGAGGAGGAGGAGGAGGAGGAGGAGGAGGAGGAGGAGCGGGGGAGGAGGAGGCGTCACCGCTTACTTCCGTGCCACAACGGCAATTGTAATGCGCTTGCTCTTTGGGGCTTCTCCGCCTTTCCGTTTTTCTTAGTGCATATTTTCTTTCTTAGTTCGCATTGCGATGATAAGGGTACGAGTTAGATGTCTCCCGCATGTTCTGAAGTTTGTTATGCCAGATCGTTGTAGTAAAGCGCGACGGCGCTCGCTCGCCTACGTCGGGACAACAAAGAGGAGGAGGAGAAGCATGAAGAGGATAAGTGTGAGGAGGAGGGAGTATGAGGATGGGGAGGGAGGAGAGGAGGAGGAGGAGGAGGAGGAGGAGAAGGAGGAGAAGGAGGCGAACGAGGAGAAGGGGCGGGGAGGAGGAGGGAGGAGGAGGAGCGAGGAGGAGGAGGAGGAGGAGGAGGAGGAGGAGGAGGAGGAGGGGGATGATGATGATGATGATGATGATGAGATGATGATGATGATGATGATGATGATGATGATGATGATGATGATGAAGATGTGATGATGATGAGATGAGGATGATGATGATGATGATGATGCTGATGATGGTCGTGCTGCTGCTGTTGCTGACGATGAGATGATGCGCTGCTGATGATTATGAGGAGGAGGGGGGAGGAGGAGGAGGGAAGAGGAGGAGGAGGAGGAGGAGGAGGAGAGGAGTAAGGGGGGAGGAGGACGAGAAGGAAGAACGAGGAGGAGGAGGAGGAGGAGGAGGAGGAGGAGGAGGGCGCGCTGTCCCCAGGCCTGGCGCCCTCGGTCGCAACCGCGGGAGCGTCCTGGGCCAAGCCCAAGCACGCGCCGTGGGCGTCGGCGTGGCCGGAATCCAAGGAGGGGGAGCGGGCAGCAGTGCGCATAGATAGAGAGAGAGAGAGAGAGAGAGCGAGAGAGAGGGAGAGAGAGAGAGAGAGGGGAAAAAAAAGGACAGAGACAGACACTCCTCCTTCCTCCTCCTCATTCCCCTCCTCCTCCTTCGCCTCCCCTCCTCCTCTTCTCCTCCTCCTCCTCCTCCTTCCTCTTCCTCCTCGTGCTTCTCCTCCTCCTCCTCCTCCTCGTCCTTCGCCTCTCCTCCTCCTCCTCCTCCTCCTTCTCCTCCTCCACCTCCTCGACCTCCGCCTCCTCCTCCTCCTCCTCTTCCTCCTATTCCTCTTCCTCCTCTTCCTCCTCTTCCTCTTCTTCGTCCTCCTCCTCCACCTCCTTCTTCGCCACCTCATCATTCCTCCTCCGCCTCCTCCGCTTCCGCCTCCCGGCGCGCCACGAGTCTGGCTGGCCGGGCGCTCTGCGTAAGAGAGCCGACAAAGCCCCTCGTTCAGCAGAGACACCCTTGGGAGCGGGTGTTGACTGGCCTGGTGCCCTGTCCCCTAGTATAGGCCGTCTCCAGGAGGCGGGGCTACGCATGCATCCTCCTCCTCCTTCTCATCCTTCTCCTCCTCATCCTCGTCCCCCTCCTTTCTATCATCAGCATCATCATCATCACCACCACCACCATCATCATCATCAGTGCGGAACACAATCCCCGCGTTCAGAAACTTAGATCTATGATGGGAGGGGGCTGCTGCGACTACAAGAGGGGATAGGACTCGGACTCTGACGACGAGAGAGGTTTATCGGTTCTGGGGGCTCGTACCGTTTTCGCTCTAGGCCACGGTTCGGAGGATTCGGCTTGGGCAGGCGGTCGCGAGAAATCCAGAAAATCATGTCAAGCTGCTTGGTATATTTTTCGGCAGTAGAGATGGGAGACAATGAGCGATCGCAGACCCCCTCCTACTCTTACCTCTGAGGGGTACGTGAACTCTGAAGGAGTCAAGCATCCGTGGGCTAGCAAGTTCAAGAGAGACTTAGACGTGATCTGCGGCCACCCTGAAGCGGAATCGTTTGCCTGCTGCTGGAGTGGTTCGATCGAGGAGTTGTTTTTTTCGACGCTGAGGTTAACGAGCTGTTCTTGGCTTTCGGTGCACGATGTCTTCGTTCGGCTTTTGGGTCTTCACAATGGAAACCCCGTTTTGCATGGCTGCCGAACTACCAACAGAAACGGACTCGACAGAGACCTGGGAAGTACAAGAGCCTGTGTTTAGATGTTCTGTGATTGTGGATGGGTCTGTGGGGCCCCATTTCGGGATAGACGAGTATTATCATCACAGGTGCCATTCAAAAAAACCTGGACATGGTGCTCAGAGTGTGTTCTCGCTGCTTACCCCTACCCACGCTTGTATCAATTTTGAAACCGTGTTTCAGAATCGGACAGAAAGGGCGTCTCATCTAACCCGCTCTTGGCATGCTGGAAGATCTATTCGTTCGAACACTGCTTACCCTTACGATCTGCAAGACTGTTCGTCGTCATGTCCTATATGTTTGGTGAGTTTCTCCTCCCATGCTGACCTCTGACGCCATTTATGCTTACATCTCCCCTATGCTGCGGAGGGAGTGCCCATTCCGGCGGTCGAGCCGCGGCCGCCCCGACCGCCACCGGAGAGAAGCTTTAGACCAGCACCGGCGGCGCGGGCACCACCTCCTCTTCGGGCTGCCCCCCCGGCTTCCAGACGAGATGATGGGTCGGCGGCCAGTTCGGGCCGCCTCGACGGCTCAGTCCTCAGACTCTGGGAACGGCTCCAAGCCCGACGGAAACGGGGGCGACAGGAAGCTGCGCAAGGTCGGCGACGGGGAGGCTCGCCGCGTGGACAACGCCAAGGAGGAGTCGGGCATCCTGAGGGCCAAGGCGAGGAGGGGAGGACGCACGCGCCAGCCGAAGGAGCACAAGCTGGGCGTGACGAGCGTGGCCCTCAAGGACGACCATGTCGCTCCTGCTGGCGCAGGTGACGCAGAGGGGCCGCGTGATGTGGGGCATCATCACCACCGCGATCAATCATCGACAGCGAGCCCAAGGTTACGAAGGCGATGCAGGACGAGGGCGTGGCCGTCAGTCAGGACGCGGGCGCGCTTAAGGGCGATATAAAAAAAAGCTCAAGGACAAGTCCGAGCAGGGAGACAGCGCGGCGGCGCTCAAGGAGCTGCAGTCCAAGCTCCAGAAGTACGGGCCTCCAGCGCCGTGTGTATTCGCGGCGATGGGGGCAAGAAGAAATATGTCGAGTCAACCGAGATGGACTGGAGGCCCTACTCGCGGAGATGCAGGACGCGCCGCCCGACTACATCGAGCTCTGCAGGATCGAGATTCGCTTCCAGGAGAGCAACAAGAAGCTGGTCTTCCACGTCACCGACCGCGCGAAGGAGGGCCTCCTCTCCCGCGCGTTTGAGACGACGGGAGTACGGGTCACCAAGGGCACGGCCCCTGCGGGCCACCTCGCAGAGGAGCTCAGTGATTGGATCAACACGTTGCGGAATTAGGACGAGCGCCACGCGGCCTGTAGCGCCGCTTCCGCACGCACCTTGCAGCCTCGGCGGGAGTGGGCTAGAGCCCGCGACACAGCGGACCATGTGTTTGTTGCTTGGTGCTCTGGTTTCTAGTGCCCAGCAGTCGTAGCAGTGAGTCTGCGTAACACGGGGTATTGCTTTTTTTGTTGTCCAGGCTGTAGACTCGTGAACCGATCAGAGGTCCAGCTGCCACAAGGAGAAGAAGAACCACCAGCAGCATCATCATCAGCAGCAGCACCAGCACCCGCATCATCAACATCATTATAATCATAATCAGCCTGCTCGTCCTCATTCCCCTCATAATCCTCACGACCATCACCCTTAGCACCAGCAGCACCATGACCATGATCGCACTTATTGTCATCATCATCACCATCATCAGCAGCACCGCCATCAGCATCACCAGTATCAGTATCATTCGTACCATCGCCATCCGTAATATCATCATCAGCATCGTCGCCTTCATCCTCATCATCACCGTCAGCATCGTCACCATCATTAGCATCATCTTCACCATCATCCATCATCACCATAGTCACGCTCGCCATCGCCATCAGCATCATCAGTCCTATTACCATCGCCGTCGTCATCATCATCACCTCCAACATCATTCATAAGCACCACGGCCAGCATAACCAGCAACAGCATCACCATCATCGTCGACACAATCATCAGTATCACCATGTTCACCGTCATCATCATCATCATCATCATCATCATCATCATCATCATCATCATCGTGATCACCAGCATCGTCATCACCATCATCGTCACCATCATCAGCTGCACCGTGAGGGTTCTAATCTGGATTTTCATCACCATCCTCATCCTCATCCAGTTCAGCCTCCTCATATTTCATCTTAGCCTCCAGAGTCATGTTGCTTTCAGTTCGTTGGTCGACCCAGTGATTTTCCAAACCATCCTATGGTATTGGGTCTTCGTTTTGAAGAGACGGTCCCCGCGTTCTCCGTCCTCCTCCTTTTTTCCTTCCTCCTTCCTCCTCCTCCTCCCTCCTCCTCCTTCTCCTCCCGCTCCTCCTTCATGTCGTGGCCCAATAAGGGGGCTCGACCGACGGTTCCAGTGGGACCGCCCGCATGCGTCAGCCACCACCCAGTACAGCACTTCATGGCCCCATAGGGGGTTCCACCGAAGGCTCCAGTCGGACCGCCCGCATGCGCCACCCACCGCCCAGTACAGCGCTTCGCGGCCCCATAGGGGGTTCCACCAAAGGCCTCAGTGGGACCGCCCGCATGTCATCCACCACCCAGCACAGCGTTTCGTGGCTCCATAGGGAGCTCCACCGAAGGCCCCAGTGGGACCGCCGGCAGGCGTCATCCTTCACCCAGCGCAGCATTTCGTGCCCCATAGAGGGCTCCACCGAAGGCTCCAGTGGGACCGCCAGCATGCGTCACCCACCACCCAGCACAGCGCTTCGTGGCCCCATAGACGATTACACCGAAGGTCCCAGTGGGACCGCCCGCGTGCGTCATCCACCGCACACTACAGCGCTTCGTGGCCCCATAAGGGGGTTCCGCCGAAGGCCCCAATGGGACCGCCCGCGTGCGTCATCCACCCACCTTGTACAGCGCTTCGTGGCCCCATAGGGAGCTCCACCGAAGGAAGGCCCCAGCGGGACCGCCCGCGTGCGTCATCCTTCACCCAGCACAGCGTTTCGTGGCCCCATAGCGAGTTCCACCTAAGGCCCCAGCGGGACCGCCCGCATGCGTCATCCACCAGCCAGTACAGCGCTTCGTGGCCCCATACGGAGCTCCACCTAAGGCCCCAGTGGGACCGCCCGCATGCGTCATCCACCAGCCACCACAGCGCTTCGTGGCCCCATAGGGAGCCCCACCGAAGGTTCCAGTGGGACCGCCCGCATGCGTCACCCACCACCCAATACAGCGTTTCGTGGCCCTATAGAAGGCTCCGCCGATGGCCCCAGTGGGACCGCCAGCGCGCATCATGTTTTATTTTGTGCAGCGCTTCGTGGCCCCATAGAGGGCTCCACCGAAGGCCCCAGTGGGACCGCCCGCATGCGTCATCCACCACCCAGCACATCGTTTCGTGTCCCCACAGGGAGCTCCACCTAAGGTCTCCGTGGCGGAATTCGCATGGCGGCCCAGTGGCGGAGTTCGCACGGCGGCGATTTTTGATTTCCGGATGTTTTTCGTCGTATTCGACGCATTGAGGCCGTTTTCGGGCCGCGCATCCCGGGCGGGAGCCTACCTGCTCGCTCTCTCTGCTCCGCACAGCGGACGACCCGCGCGCGTCGCCGGGACCTCTTCGGGGCGACCGGCGCGCGTCGCGGGGACTCCGTGCAGCGCCGCGCCCGCAGCTTTGGACGTGGGCGTGCACGGGCAAAGAGGGAGAAGAAGAACGGGAAGGAAGCGGGCGCGATCCTCGTGAGAGGCGCGCCGACATGGGCGTCGAAATTTATGCACGTAGACTCACGCGCGCGCAGACTCATCCACAATCAGACTCATTCGCTCTCAGCCTCTCGCGCACAGACCTATCGTCTTTGCTCGCGTTGTGTGCCCCGCCACGCATGTCGGCACGCCCCTCGCACGGTTCGTGGCCCCATAGGGAGCGCGGGCGAAGATGATATCCATAATTGCGGTATTCGCAGCTGCATATGGTTGGGCCCTTCGCCAGGCCAATTTTATTACAGGAGCGCATCCAGCATCTGACTCAATGGATCTCACTATCGATCTCACTCAACGGGACACCACGGGACACCTCGGGACACTTGTCGATCTCACTATCGATCTCACGATCGATCTCATTCAACGGGACACCACGGGACACCCCGGGCCACCACGGGACACCTCTCGATCTCACTATTGGTCTCACTGACGATCTCACTATCGATCTCACTCAGCGGGACACCATAGGACACCACGGGACACCACATCTATTTCACCATCGATTTCACGATCGATCTCACTATCGATCTCACCCAACGGGACACCACGGGACACCTCGGGACACCCGTCGATCTCACTATCGATCTCACTATCGATCTCACTCAGCGGGACACCTCGGGACACCTCGGGGCACTTGTCGATCTCACTATCGATCTCACTCAACGGGACACCACGGGACACCACGGGACACATGTCACTTGTCGATCTCACTATCGATCCCACTATCGATTTCACTCAACGGGACACCACGGGACAACCCGGGCCACCACGGGACACCGCGGGGCACCTCTCGATCTCACTATCGGTCTCACTGTTGATCTCACTATCGATCTCACTCAGCGGGACACCATAGGACACCACGGGACACCACATCGATCTCACTGTCGATCTCACGATCGATCTCAGTATCGATCTCACTCAAGGGGACAACACGGGACACCTTGGGACACCTGTCGATCTCACTATCGATCTCACTCAGCGGGACACCTCGGGGCACCACATCGATCTCAGTATCGATATCACTATCGATCTCACTCAGTGGGACACCTTGGGACACCTGTCGATCTCACTATCGATCTCACTATCGATCTCACTCAGCGGGACACCACGGGACACCTGGGGCACCACATCGATCTCAGCATCGATCGCCGCAATTTTCGCCTTACTTTCCAAGTTCCTCTGATGCCGATGTCCGCCCTGCTTTGCCGCCGCTGTTTCCGCTACCTATACGACCACCCTTCGGGTGATAAGGAGGTTGTGGGGGGGGGAGAGGAGGGGAACCAGCATCTGGCTCAATCGATCTTACTATCGATCTCACTCAACGGGACACCTCGGGGCACCACGTCGACCTCAGTATCGATCTCACTATCGATCTCACGATCGATCCCACTCAACGGGACACCACGGGACACCAGCGGGACACCGCGCGGCATCGGCCGCCGGAGGAACAACATTTGTTCCGGCCGCGGCCCAGCCACAGGAGGATTTCGGGACACCAGCGGGACACCGGCAGGACACCGCGCGGCACCGGCCGCCGGAGGAGCAACATTTGGTCCCGCCGCGGCCCATCCACAGGAGGATTTTCTCTCGCCCGCCCACGCAGCTTCGCCTCGCCCGCCCGCACGCACGGCACGCACGACACGAACCCGAAACCGAAATCGATTTCCCGGTAGGGGCGGTCTCCGTTTCACGTCGGACTCGCCCCCCAGCCTCCGATATTTGTGCGGAAGTATCCGCACTAGTGCTATGAGGCGGACATTGCCGCCCTTCTTTGTCGCATCATTTGGGGTGCACTTCCATTCCCGACACACGTTGGAAGTAGGAAGATCGACCAAAGCAGGGCGGATCCGAAGTCGGGTGGGGGGGTCGTCTCAGAGGCCCACCCAAGTAGGAAGATCGACCAAAGCAGGGCGGATCCGAAGTCGGGTGGGGGGAGGTCGTCTCAGAGGCCCGCCCGGCTTCCACGAAGCCTTCCTTGAAAGTGCCCGGCCCTCGCAGAAGCCCCTCCGCCTCTTCTCTCGGGAGGCCGCCCCCCTCGCGGCACCCCCCCCCACCCTTTGTGGGCGCCGCCACGGGTGCTCCCAGGGAGGCATCGTTCGGGGTGCTCTCTCGGCGCGCGGCTTTCATCGTCGGCGCAGCGACCACGGCACGGCGGATCTGGAGTCGGGGCGGGGCGCGGCCCTGGGCCGGGGAGCCCTGGAGGGGTCACGAGCTGGCGGCCTCCTGCTGGAGCCCCGTGCGGCTGGTCAGCCCCGCGGCGGGGTGCCCTCCGGCGTGCCGCCCGCCGCTTTCGGGACACTCCCGGCGGTTGCGGTCGGGAGCTTCTGCTCCGCGTGTCGCGCCGCCGCTTCTCGGAGGCGACGCTGGGGGCGAGCAGCCCGGGGGCGGGCCCTGCACGTATTCGCTCGGGAGCCTCGCCGAAGGCCTGGACCATCGGCGCCCCCGGCTGCGCGTGTTGCTCTCCCCGGGGCCACTCGCCCCCATCGTCGCCCCCGAGGGTCTGGCATCCTCGGCGCAGCACGCGCTCCACCGCCCCCCCCCCACCCCGTCCCCGAGCAGCAACGTCCCGGGCCTGTCCCGGCTCCCCGCCCCGCGGAGCGGGGCCACACGCCGTCCGCTCGCAGGGGCGGCGCCGCCGGAGTCGCCGCCGCGGCACCTGGATCGCAGGCCTGGAGGTTGACACCAACACCGAGATCGTCGGTGTGCCTCCACCGAGGGAAAACGATCCCGATCTCGGTGATGGTGGTACTATTCTGGCCTCCGCGGTGGCCGAAATACTGCCACCAGCACCGAAACCTAGGATCACCGTTCCCCTGTGGAGGCACCCCCCTGTCTTGGTGTTGGTGCCCACTTCCAGGCCTCCAACCGGAGGAAGAGTTCCCGACCGTGTCCAGCCACGGGGTGCTCGCCGTCGGCCGCAGGTGAAGGCCGGTCTTCTCAGACGGCGGCGGGACTTCTCGGAAGCCCTCGCGCCTTCTGTGGAGTGTCGAGCAGGGGATCGGCTGCAGAATTGATCTACCCCAGAATTGATTCCCCGTCGACTCTACGACGGAAACCTTCGTAGAATCTCCGCGCGTCTGCTGAGCCTTCTGCACATTGCCCTCAGCCTCGACGAGAGAACCAATTCTGGGGCACATCGATTCTCTCGTCCATCCCCTGTTCGAAAGTGCTCGGCGTCCACGGCGGATCCCAAGTCGGAGGGGCGCGGGGGCGCAGGCGGGCCCGGCGGGCGCCCCCTTCAGCGCCAAGGGCGCCCTGGGCGCGTGGCGTGTCGACGGGGAGGCGACCGCGCGGTGCTGCCGCTGCCGCCGGGCTGGCCGCCTCCTCCTCCCTCCTCCTCCTCCTCCTCCTCCTCCGCCTCCTCCTCCTCCTCCTCTTCCTCCTCTCAGAGCGTGAATTACCTACCCCGCTTTCGCTTCCAGGCAAAACCAAGCCATACCACGCGCCTCCTCGTCAAGCGGCCTGACCAGTACAGGCTGCAATTTGGCATCGTTTGGTATCTCTTGGAAGCGAGGGTGGTCGAAAGCGAGGTAGGTTTTTTTTTCCTCCCCTCCTCTCCTCCCCTCCTCCCCTCCACCTCCTCCTCCTCCTCCCCTCCTCCTCCTCCCTTCCCCCTCCTCCTCCTCCCCCTCCTCCTCCTCCTCATCTTCCTCCTCCTCCTCCTCTTCCCCTCCCGCCTCCTCCTCCCCCCTCCCCCTCCTCCTCCTCCTCCTCCTCCTCCTCCTCCTCATCCTCCTCCTCCTCCTCTTCCTCAGCCGTTCTGGCGCAGGTTCTCTGTCAGTCAGCCTGCGATTGTTGGCGCAAACTTCAGAGCGGCGCTGCGTCAACGGGCCAAGGCTCGGCAGGCGTAGATCGTTCTCCACCGCATGTCCCCCCAGCAGGGCCATGGCTCAGGCGAGGCGTGGCGTCCCTGGTGGAAAAGCGGTGACTACACGTACACGGGTGAATGGGGCTCTCCTGGCGGTGCGGGAGGCTCCAAGCGGAATAAGAAGAAGGGCGGCGGAGGCCCCGGCGGCCCCACGCTCAAATGTTGCCATTGCGGATGCAACAAGAACGATGTCAAGGCGAGGTTCTGCAAGCACTGTGGCGCGGGACTTCAACAAGTGCGCGTCCAGGATCCCCCTCCCGCGAGTGGTGCCTGGGCTTCGTTTCCTCCTCCTGGTGTGTTTGCTCTTCCTGGGCAGGTACCTGGCGGAGACGGTGCAGGCAAAGCTGGAGGTAAAGGAGCTCCACTGCCGGTGCTTGGAGCAGGCAAGGGGAGCGGACCTCCCCAGCCGCTCGCAGTGGGAGCTCAACCTCAGCTGTCGGAGGAGGAGGCGCGGCAGCTGGCTGCACTATCGCTCAAGGCGGGCGACGCCACCAGCGCCACCCGGTACAAGGACCTGGCCGACCGCCTCTACGCCGAGAAGCACCCGGTTGAGGTCCCTGTGCACCAGCGGATCCAGCAGAGCCACGCGCATATACAGTTCTTGGAGAAGAAGCTCTCTTCAGCGCTCACGAAGCTGGAGCAGTGGCAGCAAGACGTCGCAGACCAGGTACGCTTCGTGGAAAGTATTCGCGAAGATCTGGAGACTGCCGATAAGGTCTACAAGTCAAACGTGCAGGAGCTGCAGGCTCAGGCTGCTCCGCCTAAGCCAGAAGTCCCGGCGCACTCTGCGGAGGCTCCGAAGGCGCAGTTCAAGCTCAGCGAGCTGGTCGGAGACAGCTTCAACCTGGCGGAGCTCATCAACCTGGACGAGCTGGTGGCCGACGTGTCGGTGGAGCAGGAGCTCGATTCCAGCGACATGGAAGAGATCAATGCGAGGAAGCAGCAGCTTGGCGACCACATCCAGCGAGCAGCCAAGGAGCTCCTGGGCCCGCTGGTCAAGCAGGCTGCGGAGGCGCGCACGGCACACGAGGAGCACATGCGCAGGCTGGTGGCCAAGAAGCGGCGCACGGGCGAGGCCGGAGGGGTTCCCTCTGCGGCCCCAGGCGGCGCTGGCGGCTCCGGCGCAGAGGCATCGCCTCCAACGGCTACCAGCGCTGAAGGGGCTGAGGTGGCCAGCAAGCCTCATCCATCAGCTTCGGGCCCGGCAGCCGCTCCTGTGGACGATGTTCGCGAGCGCGCCGATGCCGTTTTGTCCAATCACCGCCCCCCCGCGGCGGGAGTCGCGGGGGGGACGGGTGCGTGAATCTGGCTGCTGGCAGCCTGATCGATTGATAGGCTTGTGCCAGTCTCTCAGCAGCGGAAGCTTCTATTTACCAACCGCTGCAGCAGCGGCGCAGTCTGTTTGCACGAGTGTTCTGCGGGGGATCCCTTTTGCGGCCGGCAAGGGGATTCAACCATGGAGCGCACATCAGCATTTAGCCCATGTGCCTGTCGGCCTCCGCACTCTGCAGATGAGCGCCGCCAGTTTTTCAGCCAGCAGCGTGCCGCGTCCTGACATTTGTCACGATGCTGCTTTTTTATCGTCCTCGAGGGGGAGGCCCCCTCCAGGGCGCGGCCTCCCTCTTCTTCCTCCTCCTCCTCCTCCTCCTCCTCCTCCTCCCGTGCTTCTGTATGGTCGGTTCCCCAGTTGTCCGTTTCCCGGCCGTCGCTCAGTATGGTCGGTTCCCCAGTTGTCCGTTTCCCGGCCGTATGGCTCGCGTATAGCGTCGCCGAGTACTGATGTTTCAGAATACACTCACCTGTCTGGCTCCAGTTTTTCGCCCCAGCAGGCGGGGTCGGAGCCTCGGCCGACGAGGGCAGCGGCCGCCCACGGTGCATGCGCACCCTCTGCCGGTTTTTCTGCTGTCAGCGCCTCGAGAACTGACGTTAAAGTGGGATCCCAGGTTCCCAAGCACGTGCTTCGAGGGGCCGGGCGGCACCCATGTAAGTTTCCAGAGGGCGCAGATCCCGCCAACTATACAGGCCCCCCAGCCGGCCCAGCAGCACATCACCAGCTGATGGTCGAGACAGTCAACTGCACGGCCTGGACCTCGATTAAGTCCTGGGTCCAGAGATCCTCGGCGCAGGTCCTTCTGGTTCAGGAACATCGTCTTCTTTCAGGTCCCGACTGCGACGAGGCATCCCAGTGGTGCTACCATCAAGGCTGGAAGAGCAAGTTTTTGAAGGCGGAGTTCGCTTCTGGGGGTGGAGCTAGTGGAGGGGTCGCCATCCTGGTCCGTAACTATCTCGGTTTTCGTCTCCCCGATTTTGGTGCTGAGCTTTTTCCTGGACGTGCTGTGGCTGGTGTTGTGGAGGTTCCTGGGGGTTCTCCCACGTTGATGGTTAGCGCGTACTTCGGGGACAGCGAGGGGTTGTCTCAGAGGAACCGAACTATCTTGGCCTCCATCGGCAGTTGCGCGCACGGTTTCGGGGACTCTTGGCTTGTGGGTGCAGACTTCAACATGTCGCCCTCCGCCCTCCAGTCCAGCAACTTTTTCGAGCGCACGGCTGCTAACATCATCTCTCCTTCATCGTGTACGTTTCACGGAGGCAGAGGAGCCAGCAGCATCATTGACTTTTTTATGCTCTCGCCTGGTCTCAGCAAGTGCGTCCAGAAAATAGAGGTGCGCACTGACTCGGATGTGAAGTCTCACTCCCCTGTCAGGCTCACCTTTCACGAGAGCCCCGCGGAGCTCCAGGCCCTTAGCTTCATGAAGCCCCCCAAGATCCCCATAGAGCAGCCCATTGGACCACCTGCTGAAACCAGGTCGGCAGATCAGGTGTTGGCGCTCGCTCAAGGCGGTCTGGCGGCGCTCAGAGTTAACCCGAAGCGCAGGCAGGTCCAGAAACACCTCAATAAGCTTTACCAGGAGTGGGCGGACCTCGCCGAGCACGAGGTGGCGGTGTCCAGATTTGTGACCCTCCCCAGGTACGGTGCCCGGGGTAAGGTTCCGAAGCTGATCTGGGTCTCCGTGGCGGACTTGGACTCCGCGCGTAGCAACATCAAGGATCCCGACCTTTACGCCTTCCGCTGGCTTGTGAGGGAGTTCCGAGCGTTCTTGGGGGAGCTGCAGCACTCGAGGGCTCTTGGGGTTCACGGGCAAGCACTCCTTACGCCTCCGGCCACGGTTGCCGATCACCTCAACGCTTGCCAGGACGATTTCCTCCGGGTGGGCGCCTTTCTCATTGAAGGCGAGATTGAGGTTTCCTGGGACGTCGACGTCGGTTGGGAGCTGCTTTCCGAGCTCGAAACTTCCCTCGGTAAGTTTTCGGCGGCGGCCCGAGACCGCAGTTTTAAAGACTGGCAGGCTTGGCTCCTTGACGGCATCACTAAAGGAGGAAGGAGGGCCCACGGGCGGACTAAGGAGTGCAAGCCTTGGACGCCGACCACGACCCTGTCGAAGCACGGCCACCTTGTGTCCGACCCTCTCGCCCTGTTGGAGACAGAGGCGGCCCGTTTTGCAGGTCTTTGGCAAGCAGACAAGGAGCCAGACGTCATCGACAAGCCGCTGGAGATTCTTGAGCCCCTTGAGATCCTTACGGCCGATGACATTCGTATGATTAGTCGCTCCTATTCCACTGCCACGGCCATCTCGGTTGACGGGTTCCACATGCGCCATTATGCTAGCATGTCGGACGGCTGCCTGGAGGCTTTCAGTATTCTGCTCCAGCTGATTGAAGCCACGGGCCTTCTTCCATACCACTTGCAGGTGTTGCAGATGGCGCTTTTAGCCAAGCCCCAGGGGGGCTTTAGGCCTATCGGCCTTTTCAGTTCGGGGTACCGGCTCTGGGGAAGGGCCCGTCGTAAGTTAGCTTCCTCGTGGGAGCTCGCGAATTCTCGGAATTATCTGGCGGCCGCGGCCTCTAATGGGGCCTCAGATGTGGTATGGAGGCAGGCGCTTCGCAGCGAGCTAGGAGTTCGTGAAGGCAAAGCGGCAGCTTCCGTGCTCTGGGATTTGTTCAAGTTCTACGAGGGCATGCATTTGCCGCTGGTCGAGGCCCGGGCCAAGCAGCTAGGTTTTCCATCACAGATTACGCGAGTTTGTATGACGGCCTATCGTGGAGCTAGGTTCTTAACGCTCTCTACTCTGTCTGTGGGGCCCTATTATTCGATAAATGGAGTCGTTGCGGGCTGTTCGATGGCCACCACCTTCGTGCGGATTTACCTTATACCCGTTATCGACCCGCTCCCCATTCCTCGGGATGTGTTCTTGGACATTTACATAGACGACTATGGAGTTAGTTCGGTCGGAACGGAGTCGTCTGTCAGCATAGGCCTTAAAGAAACCACCACTATGCTCATGACCGCAATTCATACTGATATGCATTGCAGCGTTGCTGAAGACAAGGCTTCTGTCATCGCGTCCACTCCTTCGCTAGGCCACAAGCTCGTTCAGTTTTTGGGCCGATTCGCAGGAGGTCCTGCCAAGGAGTCGGCGGTGAATTTGGGGATCGACGACACTGCAGGGAAGGCTAGACGCTCCGGTAAGAAGGGCAAGAAGTGGACATCCAGGGCCAGAACCTTAAAAGCCAGGGTTAAGAGATTCAGGAAATCCAGGAAGGCTCTCGGGAAGTGGTCGCGGAAGGTCTTCATTGCCGGACCTTTAGCAGGAGCCACTTTCGGAGCGGAGGTCCACGGCACCTCCGACCACGAGCTCAAGCTGCTCCGCCGCTCTTTCGGCAAGTGTGTCAAGCCCTCCGCAGGCTCGCGCAGCCTCACGTCGCTCACCATCTTAGAGCACGACCCGTGCTACTACGCGGCGACGGCGCCGATTTTGAGATATGCGAAAGAGGTCTGGCTCACCAGTACTAGGCAGTACGCGTTTTCGGTCCCCTTCCCGGTTCTGAGGGCGTCCTGGGACTCGGCTTTTGGAGGTCCTCCGATTTCTTGGAAGAAAGTGTCTGGACCTCTTTCGGCGGTTAGGGCTTCCCTGTCAAGGATCGGGTGGAACATGATCGATTTCACCACCATTGTCACGGACCAGCAGGTGTCCTTAGGTCTGACCAACACCTCCCCCAGGATGCTCAAAAGGTTTTTGAGGGAAGGAGTCATTCGTCACCTTCAGAAGCTGTCGGGAGCTGCTCTTGGGATGGGCGCAGACAGGGCATGTTACGACATTGTCCTCCAGGAACTTCAGAAGAAGAAGTGGTCCAATTTTGAAAAGGGTTGTATTCGCAGTCTAGTATGTGGAGCTTGCTGGACTAAGACCAGGGCCACAGATGCGGGTTACTTGCTTGATGACAATCTCTGTCCCATGTGCGGTGCTGCGGAAGATACTATGCATCACCGTCTGTGGAAGTGTCCGGCTGTTAGTGAACAGCGGCTAGATGTAGTGGACGATGAGTTGATCGCCCGCGCTGGTGCCATCACTCCCGACAGCCCAGATTGGAATCTGTTCACCAAGGGCATCTTTCAGCATCCTGGCGAGTCTGTACCAGGGCCAGTGGCTGGAGGCGGTATGTCGGTGCAGTGGGTAGACGACCCAGACAACACTTCTGCGAACATCCAAGGGCACATCTTCTTCGACGGGTCAGGTCTCAAGAGCCCCATCAAGGAGATGTCTAGGGCCGGCTGGGGGGCTGCGGTCTACGACGATCAACGGCAGCTTTTGTGCACTCTTTCGGGTCCCGTTCCCAGTTTTCTCCCCCAAACCTCCCAGGCTGGTGAGTTCTGCGGTTTAGGGGCCACCAATGAGCTTCTTTGTGGGCCCTCGACGGGTTACTCCGATTGTGCCAATGTGGTCCTCGCGTTTAACTCCCCTGCTCCCGTGCAGGTCTCTTATAAGAAGCTCTACGCGGGAGCCCTTTTAAACATGTCGAATAGTATGTACTCACAAGTCCACAAAGTAAAGGCTCATGTTGTGGACGATGGCTCGCTTTCAGCCGACGGGCTTTTCTATAAGCAGGGCAATGATCAGGCAGACAAGGCGGCCAAGAAAGGTGCTTGGAGCCATCCCAGGGCTTCACCTAACGAGTTGCAGGTGATCGACGATAAAGTCGCGGTTGCCCGCAAGGTCTGTGCCTTGGCCGCCCGACTGATGCCTCTCTGGCCGAGACTTGATCTCGATGGCGTTCCTCGGACTCCTCATCCTCCTCGCCCCAAGGCGTCGAATTCGACTGGTATTTGTCACGAGTGGCTGTGGTGCCGCTCGTTTTGGAGATGCCAGCGCTGTTTGAAGAGCCGGCGTTGTGAGCAGAAGCCTCCGATCGAGAACTGTTCTGGTGAGCTGCCCGCTGTTGCCCTCGCGATTGGGCAGCGTAAGCACTCGCTTAAGGTCTTCTCCTGCACCGACGGTACGTTGCTATACGCCTGCTCCAGATGCAAGGCATATACAACAGGAGGCCAGTTCCGCAATCTTGCCAAAGATTGCCTTACAGATGCTGATTTCAGACGTAAGAAAGCGATTTCCAATTTTGCCGCTTCAGCTTGGAATAAGCTTCTGAAGGGTAAGCATCCCAAATTGGACCACGTACAGGTGGAGCCATTCAACTTTTTGCTCGCTTGATTGTGGGCAGTGCAGCGCTGGTGAAAAAAAAAAACTCCTCCTCTTCCTCCTCCTCCTCCTCCTCCTCCTCCTCCTCCTCCTCCTCCTCCCCCGCCTCCTTTTGCCGCTGCTGCCCCACCCCTTTCCCAGACATCGGGCGCTCCATTTTTTTGGATGCGCGGGTCCCAGAGGTCTGGACCGCCAGCTTTTCGTCTTGAGCAGTATTGCACGGTCCCGGGACCCAGCGAGGGCCGTTGGAGGCCGAAAACGGCCTCAGGTTGGCCGCTCCAATGCTTTCGGAGCCTCGGATCCCCCCTGCTCAGTCCGCGCCCGTGCGCTGAGAATTTGCCAAATCTGGTCAGATCCCGGTTCATGCTGATTGGTCCCGCTCAATCTGGCTCAATCCCACTGCATCCTGCTCAATCCCGGTCTTTATCAAGCCTGCAGCCTAATCCAGCTCAGTGGCCTCCTATCGGGCCGAATGTTCGGACGAAGCCCTTCCAGGAGTCGCCTCCTCATACTGCTGCTGCTGCTGCTGCTGCTGCTGCTGCTGCTGCTGCTGCTGCTGCTAATGCTAATGCTAATGCTAATGCTAATGCTAATGCTAATGCTAATGCTAATGCTAATGCTAATGCTAATGCTAATGCTAATGCTAATGCTAATGCTAATGCTAATGCTAGTGCTAATGCTAATGTTAATGTTAATGTTAATGCTGCTGCTGCTGCTGCTGCTGCTGCTGCTGCTGCTGCTGCTGCTCCGCCCCCTCCTCAGCCGGCGCCCGCCTGCCCTCCCTGGAGATACGACGCCACGACAAATTTGCAACTCCACGAAAAAGCACCAACAAAGCTCCAGACCTGATCTTTCTGCGCATTTTTTCGAGCCGGATCGATATGTGAGGGCCCCGGGGACCTAAAATCCATGCGAAAACGCCAGGTGTGAACAAGTTGCAAACGCCTGGCAGGCGAAAGCGCCTGGCCCCCCCCCTTCACAGACCCCCGACGTCACGATTTTTTCACGGCGTGGACTCCGAGAGGTTTCTCGCGTCCTTCGCCCTCCCCGCCCTCTTCGTCGTCCTTCTTCTCCCGATCCTCTTTCTTCTCCCCCTCCTCCTCATCCTCATCCTCCTCCTCTTCGTCCTCCTCCTCCTCCTCCTCCTCCTCCTCCTCCTCCTCCTCTCCCTCCTCCTCCTCCTCCTCCTCCTCCTCCTCCTCCTCCTCCTCCTCCTCCTCCTCCTCCTCCTCCCCCTCCTCCCTTGCCCCCTCCCCTCGGCAGATCCGCTCTTTGGACCCCCAAAGGTCTGGACTCTTGGATCCCTTCATTGGGATCGCTTTCTCATCCCGAGCTTTTTTTGACGGGCCCGCACCCCAGAGGCCGAACATTGGGAGGCACCTCCCGCCGTTATTTTTGTTCATAACACGAGGGGGTCGTGGTCCTCAGCCCGCGCCCGCATGCCACCCCTCTCAGGGGCAACGATAGGGGGGACAGGCGCAGGGGGGGGTGCATCGACCCCCAATGGTCCATTCCCCGCCGATAGGGGCCCGATAGCCCCACCTCGCCCAGGAACGTGGGGATTTGCTATCAGGGGCCTATCGCCGATCTGTCGGCGACGCGTCGCCGACTCCAGGTCGACGTTCCCCCCTCCTATGCCAGCCCCCCCCCCTGATTATCGTTGCCCCTGATTATCGTTGCCCCTCTGCTGTGCCAGCCCCCCCCCCCCTGATTATCGTTGCCCCTCGCCCCCGCCCCCCGAGGCGGCGCCGCCGCCCTTTGCGTCCGGCGGCCTCCCCGGCCGGCACGCCGCCGTGCACCTCGGGCGGGGTGTGCCGTCGTGCCGGTCCGCCTCGCAGAGCCATCCGCCGAGGGAGGGGAGGGAGGGAGGGAGGGAGGAGAGGCAGAATGGAGGGGTAGCGTGGAGGGGGAGAGTCAGAGCGTGAATTACCTACCCCGCTTTCGCTTCCAGGCAAAACCAACTCATACCACGCGCCTCCTCGTCAAGCGGCCTGACCAGTACAGGCCGTAGTTTGGTATCGCTTGGAATCTCTTGGAAGCGAGGGTGGTCAAAAGCGAGGTCGGTTTGTTTGCCCCCTAGAGAGGGAGGGGGGAGGGAGGGAGGGAGGGAGGGGACGCCGTCGTGCGAGTCCGCCTTGCAGAGCCTGCTGCCCCTCACGCGACGCCGGGCCCATTCGTGCTTTTGCGTTTGTTTGCGGATGTTGGTTTTGCTTCGGGTTAAGACTTTTGTGATCACGACGGCACAGGGGGGGTTTTAGCCGTTTGCGGCCTCTAGGGTCTCTCGTTGGGCCCCAGGACCGTCAAAAAACGGTTCTGGATGAGAAGCAGGTCTTGGGGAAGGGATCCAAACCTTTGGGGGTCCAAGAGGCGGATCCGCCGAGGGGGAGGAGGTGAGGAGGAGAAAGGGGAGGAAGGGGCGAGGGGGAGGAGGAGGAGGAGGAGGAGGAGGAGGAGGAGGAGGAGGAGGAGGAGGAGGAGGAGGAGGAGGAGGAGGAGGAGGAGGAGGAGGAGGAAGAAGAGGAAGAGGAGGAGGAGGAGGTGGAGGAGGAAGAGGAGAAGGAGGAGGAGGCCGTCGCCCGGAACAGGGGCCCGCCCCAGAACAGTCGCCCGAGGCATTTGGTGACTGTTTCGGGCGGGCTTGGATTTTATTGGCAGCAGCAGCAGCGGTTGGAGGATGAGGAGGGCAAAGAGTAGGAGGAGGAGCAGCAGCAGCATCAGCAGCCTACCGGAGCCGAGCCATGCGAGGGGACAGCGGAGGAGGAGGGGGGAGGATGAGGCACACGAGTGAGGTGCTAGGAGTGATGAGATTTGATGAGGCTCCCGCTCAAAAAAACCCTCGCGGTTTGTCCATGAACGAGGGTCCTTCTGACGGAATCCGATCATTCGGGCAGGGACCAGGCCCCCCTCGATACATCCTCCCACTTTGGCTGAGGGACGAGGCACCCGCTCGAGGCATCCTTGCAAGATGCCCCGAGATGACATTGCCACCGGGCCGAGCGAAAGCCCAACATTGGTTGGATCTCCCAGCCCCAGAATCGAAACAGCAACCCAACATTGAAGTCTTAGTCTACAGTTCCGAACCCCAATACAATACTGTTGGACCAAAACCTGAACATTGAACCTTGCTTTTTGGTCGAGTTCAGTACTCCAGTCTGGAGTTTGGCAACTCCACTTGTGGTCTTCTGCAATATGGAGCTTGGGAACTCTATTATTGAAGGTGGGGATTGACCTTGTTCGATTCCGGGGTCGAAGCCTCAATGTTGGGGACCGGGTGCGGGTTGTACTAACGAAATTTCTACCCTGCTTTGAAATCGCCCGAGGTACGGCGGATCAGGGGTGAGAGCCGCCGCTTTTCTGGAAGTTTCGGGGTCGAGGTTCGAGATTTGCGGGCGTGTTCGTCCGTGCTCTTCGGGCTTCAGCCTCGGGATGCGTTCCAGCGGGATGCCGTCGTTTCGGTCAGCCTCTCAGGGGTAGGCTCGGGGGCTCAAGGCTCGAGGGTCAAGCCGGGGATGCCCCTCTACAGGGTGAATGTTCAAAAATAGTTAGTTCTGAAGAGTAGTATGGGGACCATTGTGCGATTATTTTTTACAAGTCTGTTTTTGAGCATTTTTCGCATACTTTTCACTTGTCGTGCAGAACACGCCTGCAGGGGGACATGCCCGAGACCTAACTCGAGGGTTGAGGCTCTCTTTCCCCTCCTGTTGCTCTTCCTCGGGCGCCCTCGTGGCCCCTCGGCCGGGTCCGCGCCAAGAGTCTGGCCAGAACGCGCCCCAGGAGGGGTCCCACAGGAAACGTCAGCAGGGGGACGGGCCTTCGAGGCTCCAGGTGTGGGGACCTTCTCTCGACGGTGGCAAAGAAGATGTGCAGCGACGAGCTCCTATGCCGCGACGAGCTCGACGGGACGGCGAAGGACGTGCCTGGGCACAGCTTGCGAGATGGAAGCCACCTCCTGGGATGGGCCTCCGAGGCTCGAGGTGTGGGGACCTTTTCATCCTGGGCCCCTGGGTCCCCGGGAGGGAGGGGGTGCAGCTGCCACCCGGGGGGGGCTCCCCTGCCGCCGCGGGCTGCCGCGCCGTCAGCGCCCGGCAGCGCGCCAGCCAGCCGCTCCGCCGCCGCCGCCGCGCCAACGGCAGCGCCTGCGGCCACCTGGTCTCCAGCCCCGGGGTCCTCCCCAGCGGCTGCGCCTCGCCGAGGGCCTCTCCGAGGGAGCCCCGAGCGCCCGAGCGACCGCCGGAGGCACGGGGCGCGGCCCGGCAGCCACCGGGGGGGCGCGGAGAGGCTCGGGGCGGGGGGCGCATCGGTCGCCGGTCGCCCAAGGATCGCCGATGGGAGCCCGGCAGCCCATCGGGTGCCCGCGGCGGCCTATGGGAAGCATCGCCGATTCCAGCTCGATGTGTCCCTCCCCCCCCCTCTTCGCCAGCCCCCCCCCCCCGTTCCAAGCTCCCCCCTCGCTGCTCCCCTCCTCGATCCTGTCTCAGATCCCAGACGGCACGATATTTGTTCAGTCGGCGCTTCCTCCCAGATTTCGGCACTGTTTCTGGGCCCCAGGGCCATCAAAACTCGATCCTGTAAGAAGGGTTGCCCCCGGGGGAAGCCGCCTGGACCTCCGGGGCCGCGGATTGGAAGCGACGAAAGAATCACGTCGGCGGACGTCAGCGGTCGGCTGCGCTCTCAATGAAGGAAGCGGGTCCTGGAGCGCTCTGGAACGGCCGCGGCGCCCGATACATCCTCCATTTATCCCTATCCGGTTTTGTCCCTGTGCTGGCTTCGTCTTAGGTGGGGGGATGCTAATTTTTTGGAGCCTCTCAGGGGCCTCCTCTTAGGCAGTCTTCTAGCGCCGTCGGCGCCAGACGAGGCCGTACCCAGGGTCTTTCTGGGCTCCAGGCGGCATGGGCTCATTTGAGGGGCAGGAGGGGAGGAAAGGAAAAAGAGAATGGCGTCGCACTCTCCTCCGCTTTCCCCTCTCCTCCTTCCTCTTGCCCCCTCCGCTTTCATCGATGCACTGTCGGATTTCGTGGCACTGTCATTCCCCTCAGCTTTCCTTCTTCTCTCCCCCAAATTGCGCTGGAAAATCTGATATTTGTTTGAGGAGGGTCCTGTGGAACTCACGTCATCCTGACCACCTGCGCGCGAGGACGTGCGGCCACCAATTGTGTTGTGTTTCCTGCATTGTTTCCGGCGAGCCTGACGGAATCTGAAGCAGTCCGGCATCATTCCCAACCAGCCCCCTCTATCGGGACATCTTCGCAAAATCGGGGAGGGATCGACGGCGTCGCGGAGAAAGCGCGTTCCTCATCTCTCCATGCAGAAACTCCCGATCAACCGCAGAGAGGCCGGCTAGTCATGTTGTTCGGCGGCGGGCCCGAGGGGGAAGTGAGGAGGGGCGGGCCCTCTCAGAAGGCTCGGAAGGCCTCGGGCCTTCCGAGAAGTTGCGAAGTTGCGGTAAGCCATCCCCGAAGACACCGAGAGCTTCCCAGAAGGCCGGAGACTTTTGGAGAAGCCCCGCCGCCTTCTGAGAAGGTCTTCTCCTTCTCGCTTGCCCCCTCGCTCGCCGCCGAATGATACAGAGCCCCCACGAGCACGAGGCTTGGAAGCTCAGGCTCGACCTCGGGCGAGCCGGCGGGGGCGCGAGGCGGGCATGCTGGCCGGTGCTTCCTGATCGGCCCACGCTCTGGTGAGGATGAGGATGAGGACGATAATAACGCGGATGAGGATGAGGATGAGGATCATGATGGTGATGATGGAGGCGGTGATGATGGTGATGATGATGACGGTGATGGTGATGATCATGATGATGATGATGATGATGATGATGATGATGATGATGATGATGATGATGATGACGATTATGAAGATGATGATGATGATGATGATGATGATGATGATGATGATGATGATGATGATGATGATGATGATGATTGTGATGATGATGACGGTGATGATGTCTATGATGATGGTGATAGTGATTGTGATGATGATTGTGCTGCTGATGATGGTGATGGTGATGGAGAAGCTGATGGTAATGGTGGTTGATGATGATGATGGTTGTGATGATGGTGGTGGTGATGATGGCGGTGGTGATGACTACGATGATGATTCGGATGATGGCGATGATGGTGATGCTGCTGCTGATGTTGATTATGGTGAGGGCGATGATGATGCTGATGATGATGATGATGCTTCTCCTGCCTTCTTCCCTCTTCTCCTTCCTCCTTCCCTCTGGATTGCGCTGTGCGCTTTTGGATGATCTAAGTGGCCGTTTGGGCCTCCTCGTCCTCGTCTTCGTCCTCCGCCTCAGTTTTCGCTCACAGTTGCGGGCCGAATTTCGTGATATGTTTGTTGCGCTCTGACGCGCCGACCGACTTATTTCTTTGTGCTTCTGTTAGCCGAACCATGATGATGAGGAGGAGGAGGAAGTGGTGGTGGTGATGCTGGGGATGATGATGATGATGATGATGATGATGATGATGATGATGATGGTGGTGATGATGATGATTATGAGGACGATAGCGATGCTGATGCTGGTGATGATGATGGCAATGTCGATGATGATGATGCTGATGATGATGCTGGTGCTGATGATGATAATTACGATGATGATAACGATGTTGGTGGTGGTGATGATGAAAGTGGTGGTGTTGGTGATGATGGTGATGATAATGATGATTCGACTGCTGATGATGGAAATGATAATGATGCTGATGTTGATGCTGCTGATGATGAGGAGGATCATGATGCTCATGGTGATGGTAATGCGCATGATTGTGGTGATGATGATGATGGTGGTCTCGATGATGATGATGGTTATGATGATGATGATGTTGGGGATGAGTATGATGATGATGATGATGTGTATAATGTTGATGATGAGTCAGGGCGACGGCGATGGTGATGGTGAAAAAGGTGATGACGACGACGATGACGATGATGAGTTTGCTGATGGGGATGGCAACGGTGATGATGGTGGTGATGATGGTGTTGGTTTGATGATGGTGATGATGACGGTGATGATAACGATGTTGGTGATGATAGCGATGGTGGTAATGCAGCTACTGATGATGTTGAGGTTGATGCTGATGAGGATGATGATGCGGATGTGGATGAGGATGGTGATGCTGATGATGGTAATGGTGAGGGTGCTGATGCTGATGGTGGGATGGTGATGATTATGATGACGATGACTATGACGATGAAGGTGATGGTGAGATTTCGCTAAAGATGATGATGATGATGACGATGATGATGATGATGATGATGATGATGATGACTATGATGATGATTATGCTGGTAGTACTTGTGATGGTGATGGTGATGCAGCTGATGATGATGGTGATGGTGATGACGATGCTGTTGATGATTCGTATGACGATGGTGACGGTGATCGTGATTGTGATGGTGGCGATGATGATGATGATGATGATGAGGGTGGTAATGATGATGATGATGATGATGATGATGATGATGACGATGATGCTGATGGTAGTGATGGTCATCAGTGTGATGGAGATACCGATGACGATGACGATGATGAGGATGATGATGATGAGGATGAGGATGTTGATGATGAGGATGATGATGCTCATCATCATGATGATGATCAACATCATGACGAGGGTGATGTTGATGGCAATAATTGAGATGACGATGCTGCTGCTGATGGTGATGATGGTGAGGACGGCGTCGCCGACGACGATGGTGATGGTGATTATGATGATGACGGCGACAATGATGACGATGACGATGGTGATGATGATAATGTTGATGATGGTGGTGTTGATGATGATGTTGATGATGATGACGACTACTGTGATGGTGGTGGTGGTGATGGTGGTGATGACGATAATTTCGATGACGGGAATGATGATGATGGTGATGATGATGACGACGATGATGGGCATGATGCTGCTGATGATGATGATGGAAGTATTGATGGGGATCAGGGGTGACGATGATACTGATGATGCTGATGATGCTGATGATGGTGACGATGACGCTGCTGATGATACGCATGGTCATGATGATAGTGGAGGTGGTAGTGGTGGCGGAAGTGGATGTGCTGATGATGCTGATGATGATGCTGATGATGATGATGATGATGATGATGATGATGATGATGAAGCTGGTTTGGGCCGTCTTGGGGCTCATGGCCTCCCGGGAGATAGTCTTCGGGATTCCTTGGAGTTCGCTTGGATCGTCGTGGGGCCCTCTTACGCCGACTTGAAGCTCTCTTGGGGTCGTATGGTGGGCGTCTGCGGGCCGTCGCGGGACCGTCTTGGCGCCGTCGCCGGGCCTTCGAGGGGCCGTCTGAGGCCGTCTTGGTTTCCCCGGGCCGTCATGGGCCGTCTTGGATTTCTCTTGGGGCCGTCTTGGGCTCCTCTTGGGCCCCTGTGGGTTTCTCGTGGGCCGTCTTGAGTTGGCGGCAGCCCGAAAAAGGCGAGACTGCTAGAATCATGCTGCCCTGTCCAGCCGCCTGCGGCAAGTCCCGCCGCAAGGCCAGCCACGCATTCCGAGTGGCGGTTGTTTGAGGGGGCACGGGGGGCCGTCACGTGTGGCACTTTGTGTCCCCAGGCTTTGGATAGACGTGATGAGGACCATTATGATTATGAGGATGATGGGGAGATGGCGAGTACGACGATGGTGGCGATGCTGACGATTATGATGATGACGATGATGACGATGATGACGATGACGATGACGATGATGATGATAATGATGATGATGATGATGATGATGATGATGATGATGATGATGATGATGATGATGATGATGACGATGCTGATGATGATGATTATGATGACGATGGTTTTGGTGATGATGATGATGATACTGCTGATGGTTATGATGATGGTGATGATGATGTTGATCGTGGTGGCGGTGGTGATGGTGACGACGATGATGATGATGTTGATGATGATGAGGAGGATAAGGATAAGGATGATGTGCTGATGATGTTAATGTTGATGGTGATGTCGATGAGGATGATGCTGATGATGACGACGACAGCGATGTCGGTGATACTGAGGATGAGGATGATGAAGATGAAGATGAAGATGAAGCTGGCAATGCAGATGATGACGACGACGATGCTGCTGTTGCTGCTGGTGAGGATGATGGTGAGGACGACGACGATGTCGACGCCAACGATGATGATGATGATGATGATGATGATGATGATGATGATGATGATGATGATGATGATGATGATGATGATGTGGATGATGATGGTGATGATGATGGTGATGCTGATGATTATTATGATGATTATGCTGATGATTAACATGAGGATGCTGAGGATGAGCATGAGGATGGTAATGGTGGTGGTGGTGGCGGTGATAAATAATGATGATGATGCTGATGATGATGACTATGGCGGTAGTGATGATGGTGATGATCACGACGTCGACGATGCTGACACTGATGACGATGACGATGACGATGATGATGACGCTGATGATGATGGTGGTGGTGATGATGATGATGGTGATGGTGATGATGAGGAGGAGGAGACGGTCGAGGATGATGATGATTACGATGATGGTGATGTTGTTGATGATGATGACGATGACAACGATGACGATGACGATCATGATGATGATGATGATGATCACGATACTGATGACGATGACGATTGTTATAATGCTGATGCTGATGCTGATGCTGATGATGATGATGCTGATGATTATGATGATGATGATGATGATGATGATGATGATGATGATGATACTGCTGGTGATGATGCTGCTGATAATAATGATGCTGCTGATGATATGAATGCTGCTGGGGATGATGCTGATGACGATAATGATGATACTGCAGATGACGATGATGCTGATGCTGATGATGCTGCTGATGACAATGGTGCTTATGATGCAGATGATGATAATGATGATGATGATGATGATGCTGATGATGCTGCTCACCATGATTGCGATGATGATGCTGTTGTTGATGATGATGCTGATGTTGATGATGATGATGAGGATGATGAGGATGAGGATGTTGATGATGATGATGATGATGATGCTGATGATGATGATGCTGATGATGATGATGATGCTGATGATGATGATGATGATGATGATGATGAGGATGATGATGATGATGATGATGATGATGTTTATTCTTTTTCTTACTATTACTATTACCATTCGTATTACTATTGTTGTCATTAGGACGACGATGACGAGGAGGAGGAGGAGGACGAGGAGGAGGAGGAACAGGAGGAGCAGGAGGAGGGGTGGAGCAGATCAGAGGAGGACTATACGGCAAAGGCAGAGGAGGATGAGGAGGAGCAGGAGGAGGAGGAGGAGGAGGAGGAGGGCGAGGAGGAGGAGGAGGACGAGGGAGGAGGAGGAGCCCCCCCCCCTGCCGCGACGGCCCCCCGAGGTCACTGCCCCTCCTGCCGCCGCTGCGCTGAGGGCGCAGCTCCGCGGGCCAGCGGCAGCGCCGCCTGATCCTTGTGCGGGCAGCGCCAAGGGTGGTCGTCAGGGGGTCGCCAAGGGGGGTCGCCAAGGGGGGTCGCCAAGGGTGGCCGCCAAGGGAGAAGGGATGTGGAGTCGCGAGGCAGGTCGAGAAGGAGGAGGGCCGAAGAGGGAGGGGTGAGGAGGGCCAGGGGGCGGGAGGAGGAAGCAGAGAGGAGGAGGCGGCGGATGGCCGCATCCTGTCCGGGTTCAGGTGCCAGCAGCGGCAGTGTCAGGGGAGGAGGAAGGGGAGAGGAGGAGGAGGACGAGGAGGAGGAGGAGGAGGAGGAGGAGGAGGCGGAGGCGGAGGCGGAGGCGGAGGCGGAGGCGGAGGCGGAGGCGGAGGAGGAGGAGGAGGAGGAGGAGGAGGCGGAGGGGCGGAGGAGGCGGAGGAGGCGGAGGAGGCGGAGGAGGCGGAGGCGGAGGAGGAGGAGGAGGAGGAGGAGGAGGAGGAGGAGGACCGCGGAGGACGCAGGGAGGGAAGAAGGGGCGTCGCCAGAAGGCGAGGGCGGGCGCCCAAGAGGGCGCTCGGGCGAGCGCCGCGGCTCGAGGAGATTTTGGGCGCTGCCGGTCGCCTGCCCAGACGTGCTCGCATCGCTTGTGGGTTTGGAGACGGCCGTCAGCAGCTTTCGGGCTCGAGGCTCAGGGTGCCTCGGGCGCAGTCGTGGGTCCTCGGTGGTCTTCGAGCCTCGGGGTGCTCTCCGGCAGCTGCGCACCGCCGAGGGCGTTTCCCGGGGGGGTGGCCGGGCCGTCCCGCGCGGCCGTCGGAGGGCCGCGCCGTGCCCCGAGGGCGCAGGCGTGTTCGCAGCGGGGAGGAGTCACGGCGGGAGGCGCTGGGCCCTCTTCGGCCCCGTGGTGGCGCCCAGGGAGCGGCCAGAGCCCTCGAGCCTCCAGCCTCCTCGAGCCTCGAACCTCCTCCTCCTTCCTCCCTCCTCCCTCCTCCTCCTCCTCCTCCTCCTCCTCCTCCTCCTCCTCCTCCTCCTCCTCCTCCTCCTCCTCCTCTTACTTCACTCCCGTCTCCAACGCATCCTACCTAGACAGGGTGGCCAGTTTCCTTGTGTTGTCGTGATCCGGTGGCCGTTTGCTGGCACTCGGACGGTCAAACGATTTATCGGGAAAGCATCCTGGAGTTGTGGGTATCGCCGTTGTGGGTATCGCCGGGCCCTGGAACCGTCAAACGGTAGTCCGCAAGGAAGGACGGGCTCTGGTTGGGGACTTCTGGGATCCTCGTGTTGAAATAGACGAGACATTGTATAGCAGAGGGTGTGGTCATACCGTCGTTAGGGCTCGGGGGGGCACCACGTTGCCCTCGTCGGGCCTCCTCGCGGCACGGCGGAGAGCTCCGTCGAGGTCCTCGCCTGCCCCCCCGGGGTGCTGGCTGCAAACCACACCCTTTTCAAGCGATACCCTGCGGAGTCGCCCACTGGGCCTGGGGTGATTCTGGGGAGTCGGGACCCGTTCCCTCGATGAGGCTTGCAACGTTTCCCTAACCCCTGTTCTGCTGTAATTCGGGCGATTTCGTAAGTGGGGCGAAAGTTTGATGACGATGTCCGCCCTACTTTGCCGTCGCTGTTTCCGACATACCTTTGCGGAAGTACCCGCCCAGTTTTGTGAGCAGAAGTTTCTGCCTGCCACAGTGCCAGGCCAGCATTCTAGTTGCCGATTGTTCGAGGCAGCACGGGAGGCCGTCACGTGTGACACCTTGTGTCTCCAGGCTTGGGAGAGCCGTGATGAGGATGATGATCATGAGGATGATCGGGTGATGATGTTGCTGCTGTTGATGGTGATGGTCATGAGGAGGATGAGGATGATAATGAGGATGACGATGATGATGCTGATGATGATGACGACGATCATGATGCGGTTGATGGTGGTAGTGATGAGGATGGGGATGATGATGACGATGATGATGATGCTGAGGATGATGGTGGTGATGATGATGATGAGGATCAGGAGGTGGATCAGGATGAGGGTGGTAATGATGAGGAGGATGACACTGACGACTTCGACGACTACGTTGATGTTGATGTTGTTGATGATGATGCTGATGCTGATGCTAATGGCTATGATGATGACTGATGACGGTGATGGTAATGCTGCTTATGTTGTTGATTGAGGTGGTAATGATGATGCTGGTGAGGATGATGATGATGCTGATGTTGATGATGATGTTGATGATGATGATGATGATGATGATGATGATCAGGGTGATGATGCTGATCATGATGAGGATGAGGATGATGATGCTGATGATTATCATGATTAAGCTTATGATGATGATGCTGTTGATTATGATGATGATTACGATGATGATGTTGTTGTTGATGATGACGGTGAGCAGGATGCGGATGCTGATGACGATGATGAGGAGGAGCTGGATGATGATGACGATAAGGATGGGGATGAGGATGAGGATGATGATTATCATGATGAAGTTTATGATGATGATGATGATGCTGTTGATTATGATGATGATCATGATGATGATGCTTATCATGATGATGCTGATGATGGTGATGATAGTGGTGGTGGTGGTGATGGTGATGGTGATAGTGATGGTGATGGCGATGATGTGTATACTGCTGCTGCTGCTGATACTGATGATGCTAATGCTGCTGCTGATGATGATGGTGGTGGTGGTGATTGAGGTGGTAATGATGATGACGATGATGATGAAGATGATTATGATGCTGATGATGATGATGATGATGGTGGTGGTGATGATGATGATGATGATCATCATGATGATGATGATGATGATGATGATGATGATGATGAGGAGGAGGAGGAGGAGGAGGAGGAGGAGGAGGACGAGGATGCGGATGCGGATGCGGATGCTGATGATGATAAGGAGGAGCTGGATGATGATGAGGAGGAGGAGGAGGAGGAGGAGGATGGAACTCGTGTGGGCCGTATTGGGGCCCTCCTGTGAGACAGTCTTGGCGATCCCTTGGGGCCCTCTTGGGTCGTCTTGGGGTCCTCTTACGCTGGCTTGGGGCTCTCTTGGGCCATCTTGGGGCCTCCTTGGCCGTACGGTGGGTGTCTGGGGGCGTCGTGGGGCCGTCTTGGATACCTCTTGGGCCATCGTAGAGTCCCCTCGGGCCTTTTTGAGCTGACGGCAGCCCGAAAGGCGAGAGTGCTAAAATCGCACAAAATCTAGCGGCAATCAATTAGTTCGGCTTCTTCGGACCCTGTTGGAGGTCCTCTCGAGGCCATTTTGGATCTTATTGGAAGCAGATTGGACCGTCTTGAATCAATATTCGGCCGCCTTATGGCCATCTTGGGCCGTCTTCGAGGCATCTTGGGCCATCTTGGTGTCCTTGGTTGCCTGCACGGGTCGTCTTGGAAGCGCGGAAGGCATATCCATCGTTTTCAACGAGGGATCTTGGTTTGGGAGGCCCTGGTGCGCTTGGGAGCAGCGCCAGGAAATGCGGGAAGTGCACGATCCTCGAGCGGGTGTGCGCGAGACGCGGGGTCTAGGAGTTAGCAGCCATGCGGGAAGTGCACAATCCTCGAGCGGGCGCGCAAGGAATGAGGGCTCAGGCATTAGCTACCACGCAGGAAGTGTACCATCCTGGAGCCAGCACGCGTGGAAGGGGTGTTCAGGCATTAGTTGCCAGGGCACGCGGTGAATGATGATGAACTAATTGCCATGCTGGAAATGCATTATCCTCGAGCGGGCACGAGGGAAGTGGCCTCGGAAAGGAGGGGCGACGAACGCAAGAGTCTGCGAGGACCCCCTATTTGAATTCGAAAAACGCTACCCGACAGACCTTGGCATTCTTCCACGCCTCAATGCACCAGGGAGGGCGGGAAGCGCCTCCGGCGTGCACCGTTGGTTCTGGGGTGCAGTCAATTTTTCTCGAACTGGAGGATGCGGGGTGCACCAGGCGACTCGCTGGCGGATGACGGGGCCATGGCCGTTTTGCTCGAGACATCCTCGACAGAATCGGTTCTGGTGGAGGCTCCGAATCAACACCGTCTTGGAATCGCTCGTGGACGGGGCCCACCGTGGCCCACAGGAGCCCCCAACGGCGCCCGGCAGGACCCACAGAGGGCACCAAGAGGCCCCCACGAAAGCCCCAGGAGGCCCCCAGACGGCCCAAGGCAGCCCAAGATGGCGCCAAGGCGGCCTGGGAGAGCCCCACAGAACCTCTAAGACACGCCCAGACAGCCCAAGAAGACCCCAGCAACTAGTCCCCAAGATGACCCCGACAGGCCCCCACAGGCTCCCAGGATGCCCCAAGATAGCCCCAGATTGCCCCAACAGCCCCCAGGGTAGCCTCAAAAGATCACGAGGACCCCCCCCCCTTCTTCGACGTCCTTTTCTTCGGGCTCCTTATCATTCTCCTTCATCGTCGTCCTTCTCCTTCTCCTCGTCCTCCTCCTCCTCCTCCTCCTCCTCCTCCTCTTCTGCTTCGTTCCTCCTCGTACTCGTCCTCCTCCATCTCTTCCTCCTCGTCCTCGTGCTTATCTTCCTACTCGTTGTCCTCCTGCTCGCATCGCTGCCCTCCCCGCCATCCACGCTGTCATCCTCGTCATCTGCCGCCTTGTCGCCGCCATCATCCTTACGAGCCCAATTGACAAAATCGGCGCTTCCCGTTCTTGTCCGATCAAGTGTGTTCGCATCGTGTGAGGTGCGTTTCCAGCACAATCTGAAGTCGAACAATTCTCCAAAGTGAGCCAGGTCGTCTTTGGGCGTCTGGGGTGGTTCTTGGGCACTCCAACGAGCCCGTCTCCTCGACGAGGTGGTGAACCCCCCCAAGCGGTGCCCCCCCGCCTGGCTCCCGATTCCTCCCGCGCGCCCTCGTCACCGTCACCGTCGCCAATCACCACTGCCACTACCGCCTCCGCCATCCGTCATCGTCGCCACCGTTTCCCATCATCCTCGTCCTCCTCGTCCTCATCGCCGCCATTGTCGTCACCTCCCTCGCCCCCCTCATCACCACTATCACCT